ATATCAATATCAATATCAATATCAATATCAATATCAATATCAATATCAATATTAATATCAATATCAACATCAATATCAATATCAATATCAATATCAATATCAATCTATATGTTTCTTGTAAATAGTTTTTTAAAAGTTCCAGACAATAACTTTTAGTCTCACCTAGAATGAAATGTACTCTTCTCACTAATTTACGCATTACAGCTAAGAAATTTTCAGAGAACATGCGTAAAATGATAGTCCAAAAGGATGAAATTTTGAGGCAGCTAACACGGAATATTAGTCAATTTGCTAAGGCGGTTATAGCGCCGTTCGCGATGAAGAAAAACTCAGATATAGACTTGACAAACAGAAAAATTTCTACAATGTAAAAATTGTTTAATATAAATATTTATACCTTCGTGTGGGAATAACGATTGGTAACGAGTTATAAAAACAGTGGCGAACATGAAAATTCGACAATAAAATAAAGATTGCCGTCAAACGATCTGCCCGATTAGGATTTTGTAAAAAAATTCAAGGAAATAAAATTTGAAAAATAACACAAAAAGCTAAATAAACCTTTGAAGGTAATAGGATTTTGAAAAAAAAGTTTAGGATGCAAAAAAAAAAGCTGGAGATAAATGCTGTATTTTACTAGTAAAATATTTTTGTCAATATTTGGTTTTTGAAATATATTGGATAAAATAAGCCATCAGTTTAAAGACTTGATCTAAACATGTTACTTTTGCTATAATTATGATTTGAGGATTTATGGTAGTGTGCAAAAAGTGTGCATAACTGTTAACTTTTGCCCATTTTTTATCAGTTTTAAAAATTGAAAGTTTGAGAGAGTTTTCCAACTATGCCTGATAACTGAACTTATTGTTAGGATTTATTCAAGACCTGATCACTGAGATCTTAATACTATAGAACACTGTTCCGATCAGGCGTGATTGTTGGTGCCATTAATATGATTGGATTTCGAAACAGAAACTGAACTGATGTATTAGGCCGTTAGTTTTGAAAAAACATTTGATCTTAGATACATATATTTATGATATATATTCTATATATAATGTCCCTGTTTTTGGCTACTGAGAAATATTTGCTTTTAGGCAAAATATATAAATCTTCAGTTTTCTGAATTTTTTTGTTCGCCATTGTAATTATTCCTTCTGTGAAAGAAGGGTATACTGCAAAAGACACAGCGACAGCCACAAAGCGAATATACAACAAATACTGTAGTATTATGTAAATCTAGATATGAAAATATGATACAAAGGAATTCAGCTGGTAATTTCATAATGAAAACCGCAAAATTCGTAATCGGCCAAAACCACAAGCAAATGCTCCAATTGTGGTATTCGTTATTACATAATTATATTAAAATTAACTGCATGCTGCTCTGTCGCTGTCACTGTGTTTATTAATTAGTATTATTATTTCTTGTTTTAGTGGAAATAGTTTGCGGCTTTTGTGTTTGTAGTAATTTATATCACCGACAATTTCGTAATGCCTCGTTTACATTAAGTAGATTGCCAACGTTTACGAGTACGTGAAGAAACCACTTCAAATTTTAGCGCACTTTTAATAAACCATAAATTTTAAAAAGATTTAAATTAAAGCACACCATTTGAAAAAATAAAAATTAAAATGTGAAAAAATCAAAATATGAAAGGAAAAAATAAACATTTCAAAGTTTACAAATCTGTCGGAATTTGTTTGACATTTTTCATTTCAAAATACTATGATTTCTTTACTATTATTGTTGTTGTTTTTTTATAATTTTTTTTTTAAGAAAAATCAAAAATAAAATATTGATAACTCATATTTTCGCGATTATGCAGGGTGGTTTGAGTACAAATTTTGAAAATTAATTGAGAAAACCTGAAAAAAAATTTAAGGTAATTTAGATTTTGACGATTATACAGGGTGTCTCGATTTGAAATTTGGGAAAACAATAAATATTATGCCACAAAAAATCACAAAAATTATGAAAAATCTAAATTTATGAAAATACAGTTTATATTTTAGCGATTATACAGGGTGTTACGAGTAGTAATTTTAAAACTCAGAATATGATGCATAAAAAAATAATAATATCTAAGAAAGGTAGAAATTAGATAATTTACAGTTACGCGACTAAAAAGGGTGCTTCAATTAGAAATTAAAAATACGTTTATAAATAATTATACCACAAAATAAATTAAATTAAATTAAGGAAAATCGAAATTTAATTAAATATGTACAGTTAAGATTTTATTATTACAGATATACAGAATGTATCATGTGGGGATTTTGCAAAATACAAAATAGTTTATTAATAAAAAAAATTAAGGAAAAGGGAAAATTATTTAAAGATAATTAAAATTTTTGCGATGATAAAGGGTGCTCGACTAGCAATTTTGTAACACAAAATATATTACATAAAAACAAATAATTACGTAAATTCAAAAAAATTAAATTCAGTTTAGATTTACACGATTATACAGGGTGCCTTGTGTACAAATTTTTAATTATCGGTTATTCTACTTAAAAAAGTAGTATTTATTAAGGAAAATTAATAACAAATTGAATATGACGAAATAGTTTCGATTTCCGCGACTTTACAGGGTGCTTCAAGTAGAAATTTTCAAAATACAATATATGATTCTTAGAAAGCAAAAACAATAATTAACCAAAAACGAAAATAAATAGAAGGTAATGTAGATATGCGCTATTATACAGGGTAATTCAAGTCAAAATTTTGAAACTTGAAGATAATTCTAATTTTCATGATTGTACAGAGTGTATTGCGCGAAATTTTGAAAAACATATATTATGCCACAAAAAAATTTAAATAATTAAAGAAAAGTAAAAACAATTTTATTATTCAATTTCAATTTATGAATTTATACAGGGTGGTCGTTTGAAGATAGTCAAAATACACATCATGGTACTTAAAAAATATTAGTAATTCAGTAAAATTATAAACAAAGCGAAAATAATTATAATCTAGATCATTATACAGGGTGTCTCGTGGGGAATTTTTGCAAATAGCATAGTGGAATTAAAAAACTAACAATAATTATGCACGTTGAAAACAAACTGAAAATAATTTACTTATGCCCACTATTATACAGGGTGTCTAATTTAGAAATTTAAAAAATATAGAAAATTTTTCTTTAAAAAAGTAATAGTCCTTATAAGTAAACAGATATAAATATATTCAGTACCGGGTGTAAATTCTAGCTTATAAAGGCGTGCAGCACTTTGCCACAAAAGCACCTTTAGCAATTAATTGCACACTTAGGCATTTATGCTTGTAGCTATGTGCATTATTCAAAGTGGAAGTGGCAGCGGCTTAGTGGCGTCGTAAATGGGGGTAAAAGCGTATTAAATGTTGAAACACTCAATTTGTTTTAAGCCAGTCAGTAAGTCATTAAGACCACTTACTTACACACTAACACACTTACACTTAAATAACCGACAAGTGGGTGGTAACTACAGTTATTTACTATTTTAACTGTATTTGTATGCATAGCTAAGTTGCAAAGTTGCTCGAACTCTCTGCTGGCGTTGCTGACATGTTTATTTGCAAAGTTTCAATTATTGTTGTTGTTTGAATGTTATTTTTGTTTCGCATTTTCTAGGTGAGAACGAGTCAGGGTCGTGGGGATTAAATGAAATCTACTTGGCAAAGCATTTAAATGCGCACCTGAGCTGCCAACCTGCTGTTGCTGCAACCTTTGACGGCGACGGATGGACGCCGACGGACAAATAGTGAAATCATGTCAAGGTGATAGAAGGAGAAAGAGTGAGCGAACGAGAGAGGGGTGGGAGCACGGTGCAATTGCAATTTTTAGCTTTTTGCCTTGCAACATCGAATTAAGCGCTATAAAATTAGTGACA